CCCGCTCCCCGGGTCCCCGGTGCTGTCCTTTTCTCTCCATAAGTCAGCTTCGTTCTCCCGACTCTGCAAACTGATCTTACGCAGACGATTTGGCTTGCCCTGTGCCACCCTGGACATCCACGCAGAAGGATTGTTCTCCCAGCCCCTCCGGGCACTCTGTGGTGTCTCAGCAGCCAGCTTCCACATTCCCAGGAGGACCAGCTGGTGCCCGGGCCCCTGCTCCCGCTCTCCACTTCACCACTTCACCTTTCTCTCCCTGCGCTTTGCATCGTCGGGTCTATAAACCGAGGAGGTTGCACCACGTCTCAGCCCATGCCTGGCGCCCCCTGGTGTTCCTCACCCGGATACCACCACTGTCTGTCTCCTCTCCAGGGAGCAACGCCTGTGTGTCCAGGCCGTGCAGCCTGCTGTGCCTGCCCAAGGCCAACAACAGCAGAAGCTGCAGGTGTCCAGAGGGCGTGTCCGGGAGCATCCTCCCATCCGGGGACCTGCTGTGCGAGTGCCCTCCAGGCTATCAGCTGAGGAACCACACATGTGTCAAGGAAGGTACGTGCCTTTCCTTCTCTGCCTCTGGTCCTGTCCACCTGCCCTCGGTCCCCGGTCCAGTGCCCTCGATTCCCTCATGGTTAGGGTTGTTGAAAATGCTTGAGGCAGAAATAAAACCCTCGAGATGCAGATATCCTGGTTCAGGTTCCAAGACCTGTGGTCCTTAGTCCTCATCCGGAACAGGCCTCCGCTGTTCGTTTAACAGTGAGAGCTGCTTTGGGGTTTAATGTCAGAGGATGCAGGCTTTCCTCTTGCTTCCTTCCACCTCTTCCTCCTCATCCACCCCGCATCCACATTCTCCAGCCTCTCCTGCTTCTGTGGGCTGGACCGCCTGACCTGGGTAAAGGACTGGCTGGATTCCTTCGAAGTTCACCTCATCTGACCCAGAATTTCCTCCCCGTCGCCCCTGCCAGCCTGGAAATGTCCGAACTTTCAGACCGAACCGGCAGAGGGCTTCGAGTCTTTACTCCCAAGTGTGGCCAGCTGGCTGCCGCAGCCTCACGCCTCTGCCCCTTGAATTCTAGAATTGCCCCTCTGAAAATGGTTAGAGCTTTCTTTCCCGTCTAGTTTTCCCCCTTACCAGTCCCCAGCCTCCCATTTCTGTCAGGTAGGTGGGCCCCTGAAGGGGGCCTTGCCATGAAGGGCCCAGGTGATGGCCGTGGCCCGAATTCCTCTTTTCCTTATTCTCGAGGCTGTATTTGCTTTGTCATCATAACCACCCTTCTCAGAGCAGCCTCTTAGTCCAGGGCGGTGAAACCCGCAGAGCAGCCTTCTGGTCTCTCTTAAGAAACACGAGTGGAAAAAGGATGAGCCTTGTCTTCTGGGACACAGGAGGCTCTTTCAGCCTCTGGACATCGTCTTGAAGCTGTCTGGGAAAAACAGAGTTAACGCTACATTCCAGGACGAGGAGAAAAGGGCCTTTTTGTATCCCCGTCAGAATGCCCTTGGTTGTCCAAACAGGAGGCCAGTCATCGCGCGTTCTTGACCCGTTTTACTAAAAAGTGCATTTTTTTCTGTGTGAGGAAGTCATAACTGCTTGCTCGGAAGAAGTCTTGGGGTAGGAAAAAAATCCTCAAGACTAGGTGAAGAAAATCTCTGTAACCCACCTGGCTGATAAACTGAATATACACGACCATCGTCTCTGTACAATACGGAGCTACAGATATAGAAGTATGTATGTTTGGATGCTGTGTGAGTGGTCCATTAAGGAGCCCCTTGTCTAATTGGCGTAACGCTGATGGGCGCCGTCCCTACTCCCAAGACCCGGCGGCACCGTCACGCTCCTTTTCCATCATTGTAACCCCCCCCGACACTGCTAGCTGCCTCTTCTCCTTCCATTTTAATTAAAAGCGGAAAGGAGGAGGCCTCTGTCGGATGCTTCCTTCCCTCCGTGTCCGTGTGCGAGGCGTCCCCCTCGCCTGCTGTTATTTGAAGAGGACAAATGGGAACTCACAAGAGAAAGCCTTGTGGTCCAGCAGGAGGAGTGATAACTGGTTTTGTTTCTCCTCCGCCTCCCCCGGCGCCCAGGGAGCACCTGTCTCCGTAACCAGTACCGGTGCAGCAACGGGAACTGCATCAACAGCATCTGGTGGTGCGACTTTGACAACGACTGCGGGGACATGAGTGACGAGAGGAACTGCCGTGAGTGCCCGCTTGGCTGCGTTCTGGGGATGTCGGGCACTCGCCATTACTCATGAGGCTGAGCAGCGCCTCCTGGGGTGGGGGCGGCTCCAGTCTAGGGTGCTGGCTGGGGGCCCCCCGTGAGCAGCGATGCCCGTGTAAGCAGATGGGACTTCGAGAACAGAGGAAACACATTTCCTCACCTGATGAGATATGTCTGATTGTTTAAAAACAAACCCACATGAGTTAGGGCTCATCGCAAGAGATGCACAAGTGAGCATCACGTGGCTGAGACTGAGCTGATGTGGGAGTCGGGGCATCTGGGCTCAGACTGTGGCTCTTCTTCTGTAATAGAGCTGGTGACCTGGGGCAGCTGACCAGGGGGCGGAACTTGATCTGTAAGTTCAGCGTGAAACCTTTCAGAGGTGGGAAGCAGGTGTTACCTTGACACCTCCAACCTGCTGATGCCACTGTCTGCCAGGCACAGGACAGGTTGTTCTCGCTGGGCCTGGAACATGGGGACATGGACGTGTGTGTGTGTGTGTAAACGTCATCCTCGGACTGTGTGATTCCTAAGGTCTTAGTACTAATGTACGTGATTCTGTTGAGCAGGGATTAGTGACTAACAAGTAACTATAGTGGATAATCTACGTACTGTAGATTTGTCCTTCTTTTCTTCATTTCACTTTTTAATAACTTTGACGTCCTCTCCTAAGGAGGTGTC